GTGTGGCAGGGGGCTGCTGGGGAGCACACGCCGGTTACCACATACACAAAACCACCCAAGACCCACAGATGTCCCCTCCCGGCTCTCTACCAGCTCTAGGTCGATCATTCTGCAGGTGGTGCTCAGCAAAGCAGCCTGCATGTCTCATTAACCCTCTGCTTGCTGTGCTGATGGCAGAGCCTGCTGGGCCTTGCTGGCTATGCCTCCAAAAAAATCAGCGTGTCCCCCTCCTCCTCCCATTCCCCCTTTCCTCCCCTTTTCATCCAGGCCACCCCAGAGGCAAATGCTCCCACCACCTTTACATCGCTGGTAGAGGTGGATGCAGTGCGGAGGTCTCGGTTAATTCTGGAACTGCTGCAGTCCCATCAGATATTGCTGCATTTCCGTTTAAAAGAGGGGAGGAAGAGAAGAAAAAAGGGAAAAAAAAAAAAAAAGAAGGAAGAAATGCTCCAGTACAACACATTTGCCAAGGCTGCTTAGGTGACCTGCTGCTTTGCATATCAATGTGCTTCTTGCAGAACCCAGTGGAGAGCAGAGTCCCAGCGATGTGCGTTCTTTTGTAAGGAGAGAAATATCCTCCCTGAGCCGATGGAGATGTTTTCAGGTTCAGGCTAAGCAAGGCTCCCCGCCAGCCTGGCCCCCCGGGAATGGACTTTTCTCACAGGTCGCTGAAGGGTGCCTGGGGAAGGCACGCGGTTCCTCGGGAGGTTTCAGGTTGGCTCTCGGAGTGTCTGCTACACCGGGAAATTTCCAGGGAGGCTGCCCATTGCAGAAGGCTGAGAACCCCTGGGGGAAACAATCCAGGCACTACAATGACATAACAAACCAGGTACAGGGGCTTTGTCACTCCACCTTCGTGTCAGACCGCTGCCTCCCGGGGTGTCGCACCCACAGAGGGATGGTGCCTGCGCTTCCCGGGGTTTCTCAGCCCTGGGACCCCCAGGCAGCAGCTGGGGCGCAGCAGCAGCAGCATCGCCGAGTGTTGAGACCCCTGGGCTTTGCCATCCCAGTGCTGCCATGGGAAGGCAGCCGAGTCACCCGGCTGCTCCTGCCGTTGACAGAGGGGAGCATTAATATTTAACGCTCTCCCCAGGCCACGGAGCTGAACCATTGATCGCTGCCAAAACACCTCTGCGTTCACGCAGAGTTCAACGGAGCTGCTTCGTGCCTCTCTGTAGCCTCTGAAGGGACTGCAGTTACATTCTGTCAGGGCAAAGCTGAGGTTTCTGTTATACCAGCCTCCCTCGTGTGTCTCAGGTGTGCCGTGGGGCATTTCGCAGTGTCACAAAGCTGGGAGCCGCATCCTCCAGGGTCCTGCGGCTTTCAGCCATGCTATTCCTCAGAGCACAGCCGGCACGGGAGCAGGTCTGTTCTGTCCATAGGTCTCTCAGGTATACATCGCCCTAGAAAACCACATTTTCACCTGGTAATGGATTAGTTTTTGCTTAATACCATGGTGGACAGTTCACCCCCAGCTGGGTAATACTCAGGGCAAATCAGTGACATAATTTAAGTCCCAGTTCAGTTTCCTTTCCTCCCTCACCCCTACTATGAGGGATACTACCTCTTTCTTAATCATAGAATCACAGGATGGTTTGGGCTGGGAGGGACCTTAAGGACCATCCAGTTCCAACCCCCCTGCCATCGGCAGGGACACCTTCCACTAGACCAGGTTGCTCCAAGCCTCATCCAGCCTGGCCTTGGACACTTCCAGGGATGGGGCATCCACAGCTTCTCTGGGCAACCTGCCCCGTTGCCTCACCACCCTCTCTGGGAAGAATTTCTTCCTGATATCCAATCTAAACCTCCCCGCTTTCAATTTAAACCCGTTACCCCTTGTCCTGTCACTACAGACCCTTGTAAAAAGTCCCCCCCAGCTTCCTTGTAGCCCCTTCAGGCACTGGAAGGGGCTGTAAGGGCTCCCCGGAGCCTTCTCTTCTCCAGGCTGAACACCCCAACTCTCCCAGCCTATCCCCATAGCAGAGGGGCTTCTTGACAGTCACGGGGATGTATCACAAGAACCTGACAACCAAAGGACTCCCAGTTTCAATCCCTGAGGGCCATGACTCAGTGCACAAATTTGCAAGGCAGTCTGTAGATTTTGGAACATCCATGACGCAAGCGAAGTCAGATTTAACTTGGATGGTGTGAGCACACCTCCATAATGTTGGTGTGCGTTCTTCTACCTATACATCACCCTGATGTTCTTGAGTCTGACTGCAGATGTGACATTTGGCTTACTTCTCAAGTGCCTTCCTGGTGCAGAATATGGTCAAAATGTACATGCAGATTTAGCAGAAGAGCAAATCCTGTCAGTGCTTCGCATTCCACCATGCAGTTGTCTAAAGAAGCGAACCCAGGAGCTGTGAAAAGGGTCTGTGGCAATACACAGGTAGATCACTTGAGAAAGTCTTAATGCATACAAAGCGCCTGGGAAAAAAGCATGGGAAGTGATGGATGGGCTGCCTGGACTGGTGTTGCTTGTGTTTTCAAAATGATGGTGAGTTGTGTGGTTTATTTTACAGTACATGTCGGGATTTGGAAATGAACATGTCTCTGAGGATCCACGCTGTCCAGGAGCTTTACCGGAGGGACAGGTACTGAGTTTTTTAAAATGCTTTATTAAAATTACATGGAACGGAGCAAATATCTGTTCCCTGGGCTTCTTTTCATCTTAACATGTTTCCTTTCTCCCTGCCACCACAATAGTCTCCAGACTCCAAAAGTCTCCTTCTTTATGCAGGACTGGAATAATAAGATGCTGGCAAAAATCAGGATTAAACATTTCCATTGGTACTTTCAATTTTTAAGTTACTCGTGAGCTTCCAAGTTTCACCTAGGGGGCTAAGACTTGCCTAAATCCCCTCCACTCAACACCATTTTTTCCAAAAGGGCTTTACAATAGAAGCGGCTCGGCCACACTGGGAAGGAAGCCATCGACTCTGGAATAAACCGGAGCCGAAGTTTGAAGGTTGGCAGAGAGGGACATGCAGGAGAGGCGCCTATTGGGATTTCTGTAGGAACCGTGTTTGATGAAGCTGCCTTATAAGCCTTTGGCAGGAGAGCAGCCTCTTTGTAGGGAGGGGACCTGAATGCCTGTAGTAATAAACCAACAGATTCGTTCTTAAAGGTAAGCAACCTCTGAGAATGTTAGATTAAAATAAATGATGTTGGGTCTTTCTGTTTTAAAGAAAGGAACCGCGAGCCATGTGATCTTGGCCACTCGGTCTGCAGAGGCAAGAACAAAACCCTGAAGAACTGAAGTGCTTTCATCTCCTCTGCACCAGCACACATCCTGAGGCTGACTGTGCCCGCCCTGGGATGCCCTGCTATCCCTTGGACTGGGATGGCAGCCTTTTACGCTCAATGACATCCCTTGGTACAAGTCAGCTCCCCTTCATCCTCTGTGCCAAAAAGGGCAGTAGAATTAAGGCCAAACAGGGAACGTCACCCTTCGCTTTTCCTGAGTTTTCTGGATCTCCTCAGTCCCGACGTTTTACACGCTGTGTGCTAGTGTGGGTAGCAACACACAGCACTAGAACACATCAAATGCACGTACGTGTGCCCTAGGTCTGCACTGCAGCCTGTGGTGCACCCTCAGGGCAGAACAAGTGCTGTGCTGGATCAGACCAACGGCACCAGGCAGCTGCTGCAGGGTCTTGTCTCCGAGCTATAGCAGACAGGTGGAGAAAAGATGTAAGAAAGAGGCACCCGAAAACTGGGAGCTCAGTAGCGGTGGCTGCTGGTCTGGACAGGCAATGGTGGATGTGCTCCTTGTGATTTCCCAGAGCAGCACCACTTTCCAGGGGACGAGACCCCTCCAGCTCCGGGTGGAGGTACCCTCGTCTGGACAGAGTTTGGACCTGGTGTCAAAAGAGTTAATAAAAAATCTGAAACCGAGATTGACAAAAAACCCTCCAGTCCCAGGGGTGGATCCTTTCTCCTCTGCAGTATTTCTAAGACTGGCATCTGCAGCAGTGCTGGCTAAGACAAAAATGACAAGGGCTATTGATCCCCCTGCTTCCCTGCATACCCATACCGACAAGATGGAGCTTGAGGGCTGGAAGCTACGTGCGTTATGGGAGCTTTACCTCTTCCTTCTGCCCACCTGTCAGGGCAGTGGCTGGCGCTGTACGGATGGCTGATCCGCTTAGCCGCAGCAGGATGGCAGGATGCTGAACCAGACCTTGCAGGAGGGAGATGGGATAGCAAATGGTGTATGACTGTCCCACCGGGGTATTTCCTGCAGTTCTTGGATGTGTTTGCTTCTTGCTGATCTCAAAAAAAAAAGATGCTGGCCTACTTAGATCAAAATGTGTAGTTTCTGTTCTCTGAAAAGGAGGAATCTGTCCTTCAGGAATGAACTCACAAGGGCTGCTAAACCTGTGCTAGTCATACCCACGGCTCTGCAAAGGGGAAAGTGCCCCCGTTGTGCTCCAGAGGAAGTCTGTCACCGTGCAGAAGCCCTGCGGAAAAGCAAAGGCTCCCACACAGGTCACTCCCGCTCTCGGGCAGCAAACAGCACTGGCAGGAGGAAGCAGCACACCACCAAAATGCCTGCTCCAGGCATCCGTCCTCTGGGCAGGAGAAAGGGGCATTTAGTGAGTGGGAAGGAAGAAGCAAAGGTGCAGCTGCTGCAAGTATTTATCAGCCCTCTGGAAAGCCAGACAGACCTGATGCTCCGGGTCAACCCCTCTGAACACTTGGTCTCAAAAACATCTGTGCCTAACAGTCTGCTTTGCAGTCTGTAAGTGTTGGGAATAGTCCCCTTTTCCCCCAAGCTCCTGCAGCTGACCCTACCGGGCACTGCCTCGTACAGCTTGCTCTAGCAGCCAGAGTGCTGCCCCGACGGCTGTGCCGGCTCGTTAGGGCACTTTGGTAGCCTCTTGTATGTGGGAATGGGTTTTGGGGTCTGGCTGGTACTTGCAGGTCATCCAGCCTCACAGGAGCAAGAAGATACGACCAGTGGGACTGATGCACAGACTCAGGACACAATCCACTGCACGGCATCGGGGTGCTGGGCACCCACTGTGGTCCTCTGTCAGGGGCTCCAGGGCTAAATCCCTTATCCTTCCTTCTTCTCCCATTCAGAATAACCCGCAAGTCTGCCCGTACGGCCTGTATGCTGAACAGCTCTCCGGCTCTGCCTTCACCTGTCCCCGGCCCATGAACAAGCGCAGGTATCGTGACTGCCGGCAGCGGGGGGCGGGGGTGATGTGGGGTGCTCGGGGCGAGCGGCAGGCAGAGATGGAGAGACTGTGCCACCAGCGCTTTCTGTCAGCCGGGGAGGATGGAGGTGGTGAGGCATGTACCCAAAAACCATGTGCTGGGAGAGGGACAAAGGCAGGAAACAACAGGGGAGGGAGAGGATGGTCGGGTGGGGTGAGTGGATTGTGAAAATGCTGAGAAAGAGGGTGTCAGGATGGGGAAACAAATGGTTTTCTGAGCGAGGATAGGAAGGGGAGCGGGCATTCACGGGGCCAGATCATCCCGGGGGGGCTGTGTGCTGTGCAAAACAGCCTCAGGGTCTCAGCTCTGATGCTACTGCAAAATGTCACCGCTGCAACTGGCACTGTTAAGCACCTGATGGAGAGTGTCAAAACCGAGAATCTGAGCAGGACTCCTCCCTCCTCCCAAGGGATGCTCATGCACGCCAGCCGGGGCCAGTGAGGTGCTAGCTCAGGCTGTACCCACCTTGGGGCTGGCCAGGGTCTCAGACCCAGAACACTGCTTCCTACCCCAGTGCTGGGGACAGCTTGTTCCAGCCGGCAGCAAACATCCTGGAGCTCCGTCCTGGTCATCGCGCTCCATCCATGACCAGATTGCAGAAGATGAGTTTCTCATTTTGCTTTTCCCACGGTGGCTTTTCTGTCCCTTCTGTTGTTCGTTCAAATGAAAGGCAAATGCATCATCTGAGCTGCCTAGCAGAGCTCTGCTCTCCGGGCTGGTGCCAGCTCGCGGTGCGCGTGGGAAAGGGATGAATCATTGTTTGCCACACGAAGATGTCCTTGATGGAAATTTTCCAGCTCTCAGAGGAGAGCTCCCTCCTCCCCTCTCCCACCCACCCAAACTGCAACCACCTCTGTTAACACATCAAAGCAGCCGTGCTTAGCTCAGGCTTTCCTGATTACCTCTGCCCTCCCGCCTGATTAAAAGCCCAGCTTTGGGCTTGGCTGCCCCTCTGCATGGTGTGCGGATGCCCGAGGCCGTGGGAGCGGTGGGTCGGCAGGGGCTGCAGCCACGGACACAGCGGGCAGCAAGGAAGGCGAGTGCCATCCCAGGCAGCGATGGAGGCGTGGGGGACCTCCTCCAGTGTCAGGAAGCAGCATCCCACATGAAACTCTGCGGCATGAGCTCACTGGTGGTCCTGCGGGCATGGCCAGCCAGGCATAGGATGCTACTTTCAGTAATCCATCCACATTCAGATACTGGCTGTGACCTTCTGTCTCCTGGAAGCTCCTCTGTACTTCCAGTTAGATACTGTGCCCCTCCCTGCCCTGTCTGAGTTGCTTTGTAGCTGGGTTTAAGCAGGCTTTTTTCTACCTCAGAGGTTGCTGTGTTTCAGCCACAGACAAAGCCCTATCTTCATTTTTTACATACATACATACGTGTGTGTGAATGTAAACATGTGTAATCATACCTAAACACACATACAGACATTTATTTACATATAACAGCATATATTTGTACTTACAGGCTATGATAAAAAGCCATCTCTCTGGAAGTCTCTGGCCGCGAGCTGGTGTTCGATATTCAACACACCTTTTGGTCCAGTTTCCACCAATGTAAATGTTATTCCTGCCTTCAGGAGCTCAGTCAGCTGGCTGCAACCCAGAGGATTTAACCTCTTCCCCAGGCTAATTCAAGTTTTTTCCTTTTTTGTAGCTGGCTGTATCGGATCCTACCTTCAGTCTGCCACAAACCCTTCAAACCTCTTGAGGAAGGCCACTTGACACACAACTGGGATGAAGTTGAGCCTGACCCCAACCAGGTAAACTGTGCTGGAAAGAGCCCTGGTCTTGCCAGGAGGGTGAGATCTTAGAGTTGTATGGCCATAGGACAGTCAAATATTAAAGCAGCCAGGGGTGCAAAGAGGTCAGAGGAGAGCTGTAGGGACCTGGGGTTCTGGCCAACATGGGAGCTGGGTCCTGACTGCCACCTCACCTATGGGCATCCAAGGAAGGACAGCCCTCGACGTGACGCTTGCTACTGCTCCCCACCTCGATGGATGCCTGTGCCGCTTGCCAGCACAGCCGCAGTGTCACGGGGTTTGGTCTGTGCTGTCCAACATCGCCCTTGGGGGCTCCTGTTGGCCACCTCTCAGGCTGCTCTCTTTTCCTCTTCGGTGCCCCCCACCGAAGGCTCATCGTGCCCCAGCCCAGCAGGCAGAGCAGCATCATGTCTCTGCCATCTATCCCCTCCTTCCCTGTGCTTTCGGAGAGGCTGCTGGCTGCCAGCCCATTTCTCTGCAGCCCTCATGGGAAATCAAGCTTCATTCTGGAGAGTCGTGCAGAGACACAGCATTTGTCTTCCTCTGTTACGGCCTTGCCATCATATTTAATCATGATTTCTTCCCTGCCAGCCCCAGAACATTTGGCTTTGCTAATCTGACTCTCTCCTCCAGCCATTCTCCTCTCAACATCAACTCATGGCCATCGGGTTTCGCTCCTCTCACATTTTGCCCTTTGATGCATCATCATTAGCTAATTTCCAGCCTCCCGGCAGCCTCGACATTTGTCTACATACTTTCCTAGTTCCGCTGGAATATATTTTCCAGTCACTGACCAAGGAGCGGTGACAAGCTCATATTTAGGTCCCTTTGGTTCTTCTTCCCAGATGAAGCTCCAACAACTTCTGTTACCACCTCGTCCACCCCCATGCCCTTTTGCAGCCCATACCTACCATTACGGCTATTTGTGATTACGGTAATTCCAAGATGCCCGGATCTCAAGCCGTTTACGTGTAGCACGTGTTTTGCCTGAGGGAACAGCAATTAAGCACATGCCCACTCTCTCTCACCACTTACAAGGGCAATCATCAAACCCAGAGGGGTTATTTCCTAGCAGTAAGTGGGAACTCTCTTCCTGCCTTCCTTCTCACCCTCTCTGAAGCAGAGCCAGAGACCAGGTTCAATTTGTTGGACAAGACCAGCGCTTCCCTGAGGTGCTTTGTGTTTCGCCCAGCCCACTTAAGGAGCTTTTCCAGTCGTATTCCGTCTAAAAGGATGGCCATATGGAGGTACCTTATGCAAAGCCCATTGACGTCAATGGGAAAAAAAATCCCTCAATGTTGCCCAAAGACAATGGTGGAATTATAAAAGGCACAGTGGGCAAAACAGGAAAGTGGACAAAGATGATGAAAAAATAGGGAGTGACATCCGTGCAAGAAATGCTGAAACAGCAAAAAGCTCTCCAGCCTGGAAGCGATGATTGGGAGGCAGGAAGAAAATGAATACCAGTAATGAATGTCACGTTAAACAGAAAAAATAACTGCATAAACTGTGAAACTCCTTGCCAGAGGATGCAGATGAGTTCAGAAAGTGTTTGACAAATGCTGGAGAGAGAAAACCTGTAAAGGCGCAGAGGTGCCATATCTCCAGAGGCTCATGGACCACACACAGGGAAACAACACCGGAAGCTTCCCCATTTCAGGCACCCGGCGCTGGCTGCCGCTGGCCATCCTGGACTTCTCTTCTGGCCCAGGGTGCTCGTTCTTTTCTTGCATTGGCAGAACCCAAACGTGGCAGAGCCGCAGCAGCCCGACGGCGGGCAGAGCCAGGCGGTTACTGAACAGTTTGCAAACGTTTCTGAGGAGAGGGGCCAGTCAGCATTTGCAGTTGCAACCGGTGGGCTGGGTGACATTTCCCGCTCTCCTTGTCCCACAGGAATGACAACCGTGGAGGCGTCCATAGGGACCAAAGTGAAAATGAAGCTGTTATGTAGGACCTACGTTCTGTTTATTATTCCATCTGTAGACTTACTGTCATCTTCTATATTCTTCATTGAGAAAATTTGCTTCCCTTTAGACCGTCTTTCCACTGGATATTTATTTATCTTTTTTCCCCTATTCTCCCTCTCCTTCTCTCCCTTTGTCCTGTCTGCTGGGTCTTCTCCCTTTGTCTCTCTGCACATCCATCCTGTCAGTGATTCCCGATGGCTTCCATCAACGGTTCCCAATTCCTGACCCTGAAGGCTTAAAACAATCGTTAGAGGAGCAGTTGACTTTGAGATGCCACCACTGGCCTCCACAGTGGTTGTGCCAATGCAATGAACAGGAGCCAGGGAAGGTCCCACTGCTGGGAGTGGCAGCAGACTCAGAAGCACCTTCTGACTGTGCTTTGTGGGGTGTATGGTTTGCACCTGGAAGGCTGTCTCGGAAAACCACAGGAAAACATGCTTTAAGGAGGGCTGAAGGCAAAACCTGAGGTTCACCACTACCTTACTGGCTCTCCTGTGAGGTGTCAATACCTCACAAGGGTCCCACCTGATCCACGGGTGGGTGTGTTTGATGTTTCCATCCCGAACATGTGGCTTCTCCAGCAGCCTCTTCCTCTCTTCTCAGCACCCCAGCAGTGTGATCCGGAGCAGGCACTGGCACGGAGCCTCCCAGGTCTCCTGCCAAGAAAAATGTGGCTCTGCCCGGCAGCGGATGGGATGGGGAGGAAGTGACAGGGGATGGATCCAACCCAGGCGCTCCAGGGCTGCTGCGAGGGTGTGGCAGTGGGATGTCCTTGGGAAGCAGATGGATTTGGAGAGCAGAGCAGGGAGGGCCAAGCTGCAGGGCCAGGCCTGGGGTGCAGCTGATGAATTAATGATAAGCCCCTGCTTTGCTCAGCTTTGCTCGCAGATGCAGTCGCTGGGCACAGTGGCCTGTTTCCTCCCGAGGCTGGGTCTCCGGGAGAGCCTGGCAAGTCGCCTGGGCACCCACACTTTGGGTTTGGAAAACTTCCACGAGGCTTCGAGGAATTTAATATTTCTGTATCCCTTTCAAATTTAGCTGAAATTTCACCTAGTTCAAAATTTTGGGGAGCAGCAGGCACAGAGGTAGAGACACATAAGCTTTGCTTTCTCAGGGCACCAGCCTAAAAACATGTCAAGAACTGCCAGTTCAGGTAGCTAAAAGCAAGAAAATGTTCTTGTGTTTGCCCAGAGTTACAGGCACTTTCATCTGAGGTCAAGCATATCGATTCAAGAGATAGATCTGGCAGCTGGCCACATCAACATCCTCCTAATTCAGGGTGCTTGGGTTGGTCTGCACTGAACCACCCCCCAGAGAGGAGCCCTCAGCCGCAGTAGCTCATTCCCAAGGGCTACAAAGACCCTTAATATGATATTAGCGGGAATAAATACTTGGGAGTCCTCCGGCACCTCCTGCCTGAGGATCTCCACAGGCTTTGCGAGAAGTAATTAGTGCTGCTCGCAGCTCTCACTCACGTAGGTAGAGATATTTTTGCTTCGGATGTGGGGAAATGAGGTGGAGCACACAGGAGTGTTATGCTCGGGTCAGGGAGAGTGAATCATCCAGCGCAGAGTGAAGCACGGGACCATGACAATTTGGCCGTGGAAAGCTGGCTCATCTGAATTTTTTTGCTCTCAACAGTGTTGTTAGTAATAGAGAAAGAGACAGCTTTTAAATAGGATTTTTTTTTTTTTTTTAACCTTGCCACTTCACAGGCCTGCAAATTATTTTACAAAATTATTAGTAAAAAATGAAAAAAAGCTCCATAAATCAAAATAAAGCTGTAAGCCAAATCAAACAAGGCACAGAGGCAAGAGAAAGCTGCCTCAGCTGGGGGGGCAGGGGCGGGCTGGGGGTCTGCTTTCTGTTGAATTGCCACCCTCAGCATTATAACCACTGTCATTGCCCTCGTGCTTTCTGTTTGTCGCGATCTAGCTGCGATGGAAACCTTTTGAGATCCCGAAAGCCCCTCAGAATAAGCTGGATTTTGTGAGTGTAAGTTGGGGGACTGGGGAATCTGGGCACCCCCCACACCCACTCCCCCCCTCGGAGGGCAGTAGGGCACACGGGGTGCTCAGCACTGGGCTAACACCAGTGGGGTTGATACCTCCGGGCTGGCAGAGCATCTGTGGGAGGGGGGAGGATCCCAGATTTCAACCGCCTGACAGTAGACTTGATTTTCTTCATTGTCTTTCAAGGAACTCTTTAAAAAGGCCCCAACCTCTAGCTCTGCCCAGTCCCAGGGCTGGAAAACGCCAGCTTTCATGGATTGCTCAGAAACCCTTGAGATAGGACAGTAAAGCCGGCGTGTTTGGCCAAAGTCCATGCGTGGACAGGCTGGTACCGGCACAGGAAGCGGGGAGAGGGGGTGAGCCCTAGCAAGGGAGTGGGATGAAGGGAGAAAAGGGGGCTGGCCCTTGCCCTGATGCCTGCCACTCACTCCCGCTGCTTTGGGTTTGCCCATAGGGATTGCACACCCTGTGTGGTGCCGGAGAGCCCAGAGGACGCAATGGCATCGCTGTCCATATTTTTGTCTGCAACAGCTCCATGCTCGACAGGTCAGTGGTGGCTGCGCTGGAGGCTCGGGCTGCCCCAGGCTGGCTGCCGGCCTGTTCCGCTGTGCTCGAGGCCAGCTGCTCCCAGCGGGGCTGGATCTATGTCCCTGCATTCCTGTGTGCACAGGCAAAGGTGTTCGTGGTGTCCATGGCAGGCGTGCGTGAAGCAGGTTGTGCTCTGTGACTGGGCACTGGGGGAGCGGGTGGGGACGCACCAAGAGAAGGAAGGAGCTGGGCATGGGGATGCAGCAAGATGGGATGTGTTGGATCCAGGTGCTCCTATCCCAGGGACTGGAGGTGCTCCTCGGAAGTCAACATGCATGCAATCTCCGATGGGCATCGCTAGACTCCACAGCGGCTCCTGGGGGGAGTCAGCCCTGCTCCCCAGCTTACAACACCTGATGCACCCATGGCCACAAAGGCAGGGACCTGGCAGAGGTCGGAGGAGATCCTGCTTCCAGGCCATGCACATCAAACCTCCCTGCCACCTCCGCATTGGCCCGTATATTGCATTCCCTGACCTGCAAACAGCATTCCTGGTGCCGAACGGGAGACCTCTGCCACGTCAGTCTCCCAGCTCAGACTCCCCAGCTGTGTCCATGGTGTGTGCCTGGGGCTCGCAGCACTCTGACCTTCCTGTTCTTCTTCTTCAGATGCCTCTATAATTCGGACGGTGACTTCCTAATAGGTGAGTTGAAGCTTCGGCTTTTCCTTTCCCTGAGGATCTACTTGGGTTGCCACCTGCCTGTCTCTTGTCCATCCAGAGCCTGTTCCCTACAGCCAAGGCTTGGAGGGGAGGGTTGCCTTCACCCTCACACCATCCAGATTTAGTGGTCTGGCACCGGCTGGGCTGTTGGGTGGGATGCACCACTCCCATGCAGCCCCGCGAGCGCACGTTTGTGCCAGACCTCAACTTTGGTTTTGAGCAGTGACCCAACTTCCTTGGCACGAGGCTCAGGGATGGTTTCCCAGCGCTCCCCAGATTGGTATTAGGCACACCACAGGCGGAGTTTTTTTAGAAAACATAAGCCTCAGGATTTCTGAACAGTTTACAGCTAGATGCCTTCGTTGTTTCAGTCCAAGAGTATTTGGCACGACAGCTTAGGTCCCACGCTATGCCAGCCTCAGGCAACCAGACAGCCACGAAGAGTGTTGAGGTTGGCACATAAAGCGAGCACATGCCGAAAAATATTCTGAGTAGGATCAGAATCCTGATATTTGCTTGTATCTTTCCTGACCGAGGGACAGAAATGCCTTGGGGTCACCAACAGAAACAATTCTCCCATAAAATAGCTACTAAATTGTTCTCACTCACCTCCCTCACTACCGTGAAGTAAAAGTGCCAGGATCGGGTTTGAAAATCTAGTAGTTTTTCAAGTCAAAATGTGAGCTCTCCTGTGCCTAGACAGTCCAGGAAAATAATGAAGACATTAGCAAAGCATTACTTCTACCCTCAGGAAGCCAGGAGAATTAGCTATTCCCAGACATCTCACACTGCTGGGGTCATGACAAGGATGGGTACGTGCACCATTTTACATGACGATAATGTTATGGACAGGTATGGCCATACATTAAGACCCCTTTATGTGGATTTAGCATCTGTGGCACAGACCCTGCATCAAGGGAACGTGAGGTGATGGCCAGCTGAACTGCATGCAGGCATCTGCTAGGCCGCGGGGGCCATGGGGATGGTCTCTCTCTCCAGTGCAGACATCTCTGCTGTAAGGCTCTGCATGGGAGAAGCCCAGTCCCATTGGTCTGAAAGAGCCCGTTGCCCTTCCTTGGAGCCTGGGTGCTCTGGGTGGACAGCGAGGAAGGCATTCACCACATCACTTCAGCTCCTCTGCCTGCATTTTGTCTCCCCAGTGCCCCAGCAAGGGAAACTGCTCATCACAACCGAGTTTGGGAAGATGCTAGTGGAGCCCAATGAAATCTGTGTCATCCAGGTAAGGGCTGGCTGCACCCTGCCTGTGGCTCAGAGCCCGACGCTGGAGCAAGCCAGCTCCTGCATTCAGCTGCGTGTGTCCTGTAAGGATCCGAGTATCTTCTTTATTTTCCAGCAAGGAATGCGATTCAGTGTGGAGGTGTTTGGAGAGACCAGAGGCTACATCCTGGAGGTGTACGGGGCACACTTCGAGCTCCCTGACCTGGGACCCATTGGTAACAATCCCCCAGCAGACCTACCATGATTTTCATAGAGACTGACAGGAATTACAAGCCCAAATCCAAATCTTTTATCTCCTATGTAATAAACCCTCCTATGCACACACTCCTTTCAAAAAATGCTCTCCATCCCAGCACTGTTATTCCCCAGCAAAGCAAGCATTCCCCCCTCAAAAAAATGTGACAGCTCAGTTGTCCCAAGATTTCCCCAGGACTGAAGGGACCATTTCTATCCCCCTTTTCCCTTTTCTCTCTTGCCTTCTGCTCAGGAAGTCCTGATCTGACTGGCTCTCTATCTGTTTCTACCAAAACAAACTCAAAAGGCCATCATCACTGACGCCCCTTACTCACTGTGGAGTAACAGGAGAGAATTTAGCTGGTAAAAGAATGGCAGATTTCAGAGACAACAGATCCTTGAAGCCCCATTTTGGATTTAATCAACTTTTTTCATCCATCCCGGTGAACACGGGTGCTTTAGAGCTCTACAGCCTGGAGTGCCTTAGTGTCAGAAGCTGTTTTCCTTGGACAATTTGAAATCCATAAAATGAGCAGCACAGGACTGGGACCAGCAACGCTCGCATCTCCGTGTTGCGCTGCCAGGGTGGATCTGCCTTCTCTGGGCACAGGTCGAGCTCCCTCATAAATCCCAGGTCCAGCTGCCTCCTGGTCTGTGCAATGTCACAGGTTGCGACAGCACAGCCTCTTGCTGCTGTCACAAAGACATTGCGAGGACACGTGGCATCTGAGGCCCCACCATCCCCACTGTGATTTCCCCAACCAGCTTTCGGGAGGTGCTCAGCTCAGGTTATTTCACCTTCCTTATCCCTAGAGTACTCGCCTCCCAACTCTTCTTGCTGACAACACCTCCCCGTTACTGCTGCTCAGATTTTCTCGGGGAAAGGAAGTGAATCTTCCCTCGTAACAGCTAAGATAACCACAAAGCCAGCACCAATAGTTCTCCACTTTGGTGTTTTGGGGTTGGTTGTTTATAATTTTAGGTTGGGATTGTTGTTTTTTCCCCACTAGACTGGGCTTGTTTTATAGCTCTCCGTGAGGTCTGAAAGACTGGCCACGCTCGAAGTGAGCTGACGAGGTATTATCAATCAGTAACAAGCTTGGCGTGGCCCATCTGCATTCCAAGGGTCTCCGCAATCATCTCCCATGGTGACCTTGGAGCCGGTTGTTCTTGCAGTGGGGAGCGTTTAGGGGCCTTGAAGCCGGTTGTTCTTGCAGTGGGGACTGTTTAATGAGTCCGAGGTCGAGCATCTCTCCCGTATGACATGCTGGGCACATCTCTTCCCGCCCTGAGCCTACGGTGATTTTTCAGCAGCTTTGCTTTCAGCCAGCTGAGGTTACCTGCCTTCACCCACTTCTTGCATGCTGTCTGCTCCACTTGATTATTGATATTGCTGCCCCAGCCTGTTTGTAACAAGTTTTCCCATTAGCTAGCTTTCCAGACACTGTCGGACTGGGTTTGGGGTTGATTTATTTTTTTGGTCTCCAAAAGGCAGGAATCTATTATAAGGTTTACTTTCTGGAGAAGAGAAAAGAAAATGAGTGCACTTGCTGGTAAACCTTTTCAGGAGGTGGTAATTATAGGAGCTCCTCTTCTCACCACCTACCCGCCTTCCCCTCAGAGACCAAGATCCTTTGCATTTCAGTCTTACTTTATTCTAACTTCACTTTTCACTCGAAAAAATGACAGCTAGAGAAAAGCACTGACTGTTAAACCTTAGCAGCAGGTAGTAATGTCTGCATTTTTACCCAAGAAATTCCAAACCGTTTTGTAACAATAAGAGTGCTTTAGCACCCGTATGGTCCTCTGCGCTTTGAAAATGCACTCCTCACGCTAACCAACCCCTCACTATGCCCGGAGTCTGCAGGTATCGCTAGCCCTTATTTTATCACTCTTTTTGCAAGCATCCAGAATTTTATTTGGGCCCTTCATGAGATGCCTCCTAACTTCCGCATGGCTAAATGTCCAACCAGCAGGATGTCCAGGAACAGAGAGCTATTCACCCTCTGTTTTTTTGATTAATGCCTAGTTGTTACATGCCTTTAATTAAGGAAGAAGTACTAATCTTCTTCAGAAGGGAACTAGGGGCTCACACAAGGGGAGCATGGACTTAAATGCTAGGACGCATTGCGGTTACCCCCTCGTAGGAGCACAAGAAGTACATGCCTATCTCAGGTTTTGTGGTGGGCCAGGGAGCAGTGAGGCCATTCAAAATGCAGAAGGGCACCCACAAAGCCAGGAAATTGCGCCGGCCTCTCTCTTTGCTTGCAGGTTGCCCAAAGAGCTCTGGCATCTCTTTCTTTCACAGGAGCCAACGGCCTGGCCAACCCACGTGACTTCTTGGTGCCCGTCGCGTGGTACGAGGACCGCCAGGTGCCAGGGGGGTACACTGTGATCAGCAAGTACCAGGGCAAGCTGTTTGCAGCCCAGCAGGTGAGGATGCCCCGGGAGAACAGGTAACACTGGAGCGCAGCGACTGTGAGCGCGTGGCCTGAGACACGCAGCTCAGTAGCGTGCAGGCAGTCCCAGGAGGTCCTGCTCGGTTAAGCGGAGCAGGACTGAGCTCTTGCCTTGTTGGGTCACTCATTGTCCCAGCTGCTCAAAGACTCAGTGATGGTCTCTGACTCACTGTTCCCATATGGTTTATGGTGACAAGTGTTAAAGAGGCGCTGGGGCTGCTGTGAAAAGCCAAGGTTACCCTGCCAGAGAGCCAGTGTTGCAGCTGGCCTTGTCCAAGCGCTGCCCAGGCACTCGGAAGCCCTTAGACACCAAACCCTAGAGGGAGGCCAAGGCTCACGTGGTGGAAACGCTGAGGAAAACCACATCCTGGCGATGTCGGGCTGTGCCTAAAGGGCTTCGTGCTCCACGCTGCCAGTGTACCTCTCACCAGCACTAAACCCATTTTTAATTTGGGGAAGAGCAGTGTCCTGCCAATGTGCAGCAAGCTGGAAAGCTGTGTATGGTAACCCTCTGTCTCTTTGCTTTGGTAGGGTTTCTCCCCCTTCAATGTTGTAGCCTGGCACGGGAACTACACGCCGTACAAATACCACCTGGAAAAATTCATGGTCATCAATTCTGTTGCCTTTGACCACGCGGTAAGTTCTGGAGCTGGGCAGGGCAGAGCAATGCTGCATGGATACCGTACCATCCAGATCCCCCTGAGCTCCAGGAGCTTGATGCCTGGTAAAAAATACGTTGTGCTCTAAGAAACAGTGTGAAATCACTTGTGCTGTTTTCCCTGGGCCCAAACCAAGCTTTTGTAAAGAAAGACAACCTACTTTGCGGTACAAAGACTAACTGGAGGTTGATCAGCTTCTTAAACTGCTTCAGGCAGCTTAGCACAGAATTTCTGTGTCCTGGAGGAGAGCTGAATACTGAAACCAACACGCACCATGCAACTCAGCAAAAAGACTTTTGCTTCAAATTCCTGCCTTGATTTATTTCTTGCAATTGCACAGACTCCTTCCCCTGGTTCCTCAGAGCCCAGCACTGAAATTCATTCGAAGAGCTGGCAGCTTGCACTGCAATCATTTCTAGATCTTATGGAAAATAACTAAAGCCAAAACTAATGTGAGAAGCTCTTCTAAAAAGGAAACCAGCCCAGCGGGAGAGGTGCCCGCAGCGATGCCATCTCTTGGCGCTGCTTCTGCAAGTGTGTGTGCAAGGAGTCTGGAGCATTTCTAGTGAGACACCAACAGAAAGTATTGCTTAAACTCCAGAGCAACCTGCCAGGTTTTGGGCTCAAAGCCCAGAAAATCACTTTGCTGGACTAAAGGCTTCAAAAAGCCTTGAAGCAAGCCACAATTTCTCTGCACTTTGTTCTCCCTGTTTGCAAACTAATAGGGCTGTGAGGCTAGATGCCTCCAGCAGGATGTTCCTGTCCTCTAAGGGGCTAAGGAAGAGGTACTGTTCCATGGTGAGACTGCTGGGGACTGCTCCTGGAATTACAGCATCCCGTCTCGCTGGGCTGTCACTCCCCTACAGCTGTGCCACCAGCTCCAAGGGCACCATTGCCTGGCCCTCCAAGGCTGCCTCAAGGAAGAACCTTCCAGTCCTATCACTTGTCTCCTATGCTCATCATGGGATCAAGATGCTGGGTGCTGTCACACAGGGTCACAAATCCCACCCACACCCCCAGATGCAGGTGCTAAAAGTGTTTGAGCAAGGGAGAGGCTGTATCCATCAGGTTTACCGGCTGGATGACCCAAGCAGGTAGGTCGGAGCCCTGCTCTGTTTCATGCTTTTTGCTTTGCTTTTTTCAGGATCCTTCTATCTTCACTGTCCTGACAGCCAAGTCGACACGTGCTGGAGTGGCATTGGCTGACTTCGTCATATTCCCCCCGCGATGGGGGGTGGCGAACAACACCTTCCGTCCACCATACTACCACCGTATGTCTGCTCTTTGTTCGTTGTGCTTGAGTACAGGACTGCAGGGAAAAAGCAAGCCTCTATTTATTTGGGAGCACGCGCAGGGAAGAAGCAGTGTGGTTTGCTGCCCTTGGCACAGTTAGAGTCAGCTTCTTGGAGTCAGTCAGTCCTCCCTGGAAAATGAACCAACCCAAAGATGTTCCTAATCAGAGCATCTCAGGATCACTCAGAGGTGATGGGCTGGTGGTGTCTGCATAGATGACACTGAGACCGGGGGCGTATTGAACTTGGCATTGCACAAATGCATCAGAAATTGTCCTGTCATCCAGCCATGAGTCGCTTAGTATCTCATTAGAGTGCACAGATAAAGAACAGGAGAGACGAAAACACGACATCATAGGTGGCAAGAGGCAGAGGGACGTCAAGCTGCCCAAGGCCTCTCGCAGGGCGAGGTCAGAGTTACAGCCAAGGGCTGCATCGGCTCTCCAGAGCCCTTCTTCCTCACCTGCACAGCAGTGGAGGGACTTCTGGCGTTTAAGAAGCCAGAGATGCGGAACTGGGCTCCTTCTCAGGCGGTTGGTTGATTTTGGGGGGACTTTGGTTGCCATCACCAGAGCCGACTTCCTTGTGGCAGTTTTTTGGTTTCGTCTTGGCAGAGCATGGCCAGATGTTGCACTGCATGGATGCCGGGGATGCAGTTGCCCACATGGGATTGCCCTTCCAGGGTAGGGATGAGACAACCTACGAGACCGAGGGGCAAAGCTTGCTCATGTTGCACCCCTTCTGTCGACAGCTAAAAGGCCCCACCTCAGAAGCTGTCAGGGTCACACTATGGTCACTCTGAAGTGCTGAGAGGCTTTCTGCACACTCACTAACCACAGTTTAATATCCAGCTCCTCCTGCTCCTTAGACGTACTTCCAAGCATCTTGGGGGATGGCAGAACTAGCGGCGCTTGCAAGCACCGTAGGGACCTGTGCCGCCATCTGAACAAACCCCACAGGCAAAGTCCTGGCCTGTCATTCTGCTTTCATTCCCAACGAGTGTGACATGCAAACGTGTCACCTGACCGGCTGGGACAGTGCCAGGTCACAGTTACCTCTTTTATTAGACCCTAAAATGGGAGACACATGGCCGGTTTACCACGCTGAAGCTGCTGCATCAGCGGAGCCGTGCTAGCTTTTAGTGCCAGGTCACAGTTACCTCTTTTTAGACCCTAAAATGGGAGACACACGGCCGGTTTACCACGCTGAAGTTGCTGCATCAGCGGAACCGTGCTAGCTTTCCACAGGCACGTCGTGTTGGACAACGTGAACTTGTCCGACCTTGCTCGGTGCGTGGTAAAAGGCGGCTGAAATAACTCACCTGCCTGTGTTGTGAGCTAAGAGTAGGCGCGCAGAGAGCTACCGCAGCTACTCACTGGCGTACCCCGGCCACAGGCTCGAGCGCTGGACTGACGGTGAGCAGGTTGGTTGACTCCTCAAGCCCAGCCGGGGGGGGGCAGAGCCTGGGTGGGTAAGGCAGGCAGGCAGAACAGTCGCAACACACAATTATCAAGGCACTGCACGTCAGTTCCCTCTGAAATTAGTGTGGTGATGTACTATTAGAGAGGTGTAACAGGAGAAAGCAACTCTGGGGTAGGAGTAGCACAAGTTCAGTGCTGCTCAACACTCCTCTCTCCAAATATTTTACAAGAGTTTGCCAGAAATACCATTGCCTCCTCTTCTCGGGTGCAGTGGAAAGCCTGTGTTCAGAGGACTTCTGTGCAGAGTCATGGTTTCCGTCTTGCCTTAACTTTGCCCCAGGTGTAAACATAGCAATGGTGGTCCAAAAATTTCCCCCTAGACACTGTAACAAATTCACACACCAAGGTGTGTGCAGCTGATAAATGCTGACATCTCTTGGTCACCTTTCCACATCCCTGGGGGCTGTGAATTACACCGAGACTCTTTGGACTATGGGTTGAAAAATGTGTCTGATACAGCTTTTATACCATATACAGTATCTGTGTGTGGGAGTGGACTTGTGTGATTCTCGTTACAGTGGGGACTACTATCTAATGGCCACCAAGGGATTTTAACCTCACAGCATCCTGCTTGTAGAGGACAATGCTCTTTTACCGACAGAGGCACGCCGAAGTTCTTGGGATGATGTAGGAAATCTGTGAACAAAATAAGAAGCTGGACTCTTCTCTGAAGTCCTAGCCTGGATTCCTACTCACCAGCCTAAGGAAGAGCAGGAGTCCTGTTGCAGACACACTGGTGCTCCAGCTGTTAGGGTCTGTACAGCAGTATGAGCACGCCCAGCGCAGTGCGCGAGCGAGTTCAACGAAAAGCTGGTTAACAACCCGATCTTACATGAGATGCTGACAACTTGGGAGGAAAATTAATAAATGTTTGCCTACACATATAGGCCAACTCTGCTTTGAGCTGAATTAGTTCTGTTGTTAAACACTTCAGACCCTGGCTTCTACTTAATGAAGACTGAACTAGTGGTGAAAAAGGGCTATATATAACACAGCCACAGAAACGTGTCCTGGTTTTGCAAAAACTGACTGCTAAGCAGAACGTTGCCGTATTGTTTAGTCAGTTCAGGTCTACTGAAGCTGAAAGCTTGGGATGGCAGTTGTTAGAGTACTTCCCGTACGGGTAGCGTAGCTCAGTAAGTACTGAACGATTAGATATAGCCATCCCTACGTAAGTTAGTGGTACATTACTCCACTGGTTTCAGAGGGTTTATTTAATCATGATTTAACAGCATTCTTCCTTGGGGAAAGGCAAATTTGGCTCCCTGTCTTTGGGCATACGGCGGCTCTCGAGAAATACGTAAATAATGCACGCATCAAAAGAACAAGGTATTGAAGCAACTGGCTGGACTGGAGGTGGCAGAATAGTGAACACAATGATCCCAAGTTTCTAAGGTGGGACAGCAGACCAGACTCTCTCACCAGCGTGCCAGCCAGGCATGTTGTGCCCCAGTGCCCATAATGCAGGGATGATTGTACTGAGCGTTCTTTCCTGCGCTTTAAGATCGCTAAGCCAAGCCTGTAAATGTGGGGTTACACCGTGCAGCCTGTAGGCAGGTCTACTCACACAGCTCGAGGTGGTAGGAAAAGCACAGGTCGACCAACACCAGTGCACCTTCATCAGGGAGCTCTCAGTTTCTAAATCCAGCTAATTAAGAGTGGAATAAAAGCTGTACAGCTCTGCAAGCATCGCCTGCAGGCTCCCCGGCGTCCTCTCTTGTGACGCCCTGCTGGGTTCGGAGGGGCTCACGGCCCAGCTGCCATGCCTCCCCTTGACACTGCGTTGCTCCCTCTTCCCTCTGCCTCCTGCAGGGAACTGCATGAGCGAGTTCATGGGGCTCATCAAAGGCCACTACGAAGCAAAGGAGGAAGGTTTCCAGCCTGGAGGGGCCAGCTTGCACAGCATGATGACTCCGCACGGGCCGGACGCTGACTGCTTTGAGAAGGCGAGCAAAGCCAAGCTGGAGCCTGAGAGGGTTGCAGAAGGGACCATGGTAAGGAGCCAAGGGAGCCAGTAAGACTTTAAAGACAGCACAGCATACCACGGCTCTGCCACTCTCAAAGTACAGCCTAGCTTCTTGCTGGCAGGTTGGAAAAGTACTGGGACCACACGGCTGCAGCATTCAACTAGACCAGGTTGGCTTTGAGCAACCTGGTCTAGTGGAAGGTGTCCCTGCCCATGGCAGGGGGGTTGGAACTGGATGATCTTTAAGGTCCCTTCCAACCCAAACCGTTCTATGATTCTATGATTCACCTCCCCTACCGACCAGCACCATTCCGCTCCCAGGAGCTCCCCTGGAGATGGGCGATGCCAGGCAGCTTTGATCGTCGCATGAGTTGTTGCCTGAGCAGGAAGCTGGGAATTTTCATGCT